GAGAGAGAGAGAGAGAGGGAGATATCCATCAATAAGTTTGATAGACAAGTTCTTTTGGATTGTGAAAATAGGTGATTGCTATCAAAGCTCCTTCTTGAAGTCATGTATGGACTAAGCGAGGTGTGCAAGGCCTCCCTTGGCAACATAACAAATAAAAAATGAACTGCAAGTTTCCTGTGCTAGGCTAGCCACCTGGTCAAATGTCTATTTCTTTTCTTTTGAAACTAGAAATTATTTGAAACTAGAAACCTGATGATATCCAGTCTCAAGGCATTCCTTGTGCATGTGAAGCCTTGGCGACATAGCACACATGAGACAGGAGAGGTCTAGTGCTTTAATGGCTGGTGGGCTTTTGTCAACCGCCAAGACCTATAGCGGTGTCTTACAAGACCAATAGCGGTGTCTTACATGGTCAATCCATGATCAACACGACCTGACAGGCAGAAGCATGACTCATGTGCTACAGGTGTTGTTGATCATACACTTGGCTGGTCAGGTGTGTTGACTAATAATGGTCAAGTGTGTGTTCCAATTGTGTGACTAACCCAGACATGGGCATATGTAGCAGTTAGGCCATGCGAGAGAGGGTGAGTGCAAATGTAATGAGCCTGTTTGGCTGTTAATGGCTGTGTGATGTTGCATGTTTGGTATGCATGGGACTATAATGACTTGTAGAAGGAGTTGACCTGACTGGTCGCCAGCCCTTCCTCGTTGATGAGCCATGGCCTTTGGTGGTTGTGATGTTGCATGTTTTATTTGGTATGCATGGGACTATAAGGACTTGTAGAATGGGATAACCTCACCAGTAAGACCACACCTATCCCCCCTCCTCCTCCTGCCGGCGGTGGGCAGGGCTCCCTCCCTCCCACCCATCCCTATTAATGAGCCATGGTAAGCCATTGATGGTGGGGGCTAAGCTTGTAATTGCTACATTAAGTGGTTGGGAGTAGTGTGTGTAATTGATGGGAAATGTTTGAAATATTAGAGTATGGCTTCAAGTCGCATGTGGTCTTGTTTTTGATCTACCAAGTTAGACTAGAGTGATTCCCAAGTCTATTCGGCCTATGCTTAACAAAAATGGAAAAAAATTTAGATGCTAAAGGACTAGGAGGATCGGGTGATTCCAATGTTCCAACCTGGCTCCAGGTTCCTGATCCCCAACAAACTCAGGTGATTCCTAGTCGGGTCACTAGTTTTTAATCACTATTGATGGTTATTGTGTGGACATACTCAGGGTTGTAGAAACACCTTTCCTTGACCCTTGAGAGGCATTTGTGGCTATATATGAGCAAGTGTATGGAGAAGCGTGAGCTACAACTATTTTTTATCCTTTTTTTTTGTTTTTTTTTTAAAGAATGCTAACTGGTTTGTATTAATGTAGGTAAAGGGTACAAAAATTGGCTTCCTGAAATGGAAGCTATTTACAACAAAAATTGTCTCACCACAAGTTGTGAGCTTTGTACAAAACCACCTTAAGTGGACTGAAAACAAAAAATGGTAGCCATGGAAGTAGACGAGAATGGCGGAGGTCTAGGGGAAGGTAGGACTGGATCTTGAAAAATGCACTCAGACACTTGCATTAGTTGCCCCAGCTTTGGCTAGTGAATCCGCATCTGAGTTGCTCTCCAAACGTGATTCCAAGAGAGTGGGTGGCCTCTAGTAAGATGAGAGATTTCATCAAAGATGTGTATCAAGTACCAGGGGCATGCTATAGAACCAGATGCCTAAGAGATCATATTACGTGAGTCACCTTCAACCACCAAGCCAGGCTCCATGTGGGGTCAAAGAGTCAAGGCCTTCAAGGAGAGCAAGAGCCTCTGCTGTTTGAGAGTCTGCTAGGCCAATATGTTTCGAGAAGGAAATCAGAACTGCACCCTCATTGTTCCAGTAGAGGCCTCCAATTCCCACAGGTCTAGGATTGCCTAGAGAACATCCGTCAAAGTTGAATTTGACTAAGCCAGGCTTTGCAGTTTTCCAACGAGGGACGCAAGGTATACGGTGTGGGTTGAAGTGAAGTAAGGCTTGCCAGTCTTGATGAAAAGCTGAAGGGGGAAAGCTTTGAAGGTGGGATGATTTGAGGCCCAAAAGATTACCATTGCTTTGAGTTTTTCGAATAGGGCAGTCAAAGAGGAGTATTCCCCTTAAGAGATCCTAGTGTTGCACTCGATCCAAAGACTCCAAAGCAAGGCTGTCATAGAGGCCTTCGACAGTAGGATACCTGATTTGGCCCAGGTATTGGGGTGGAGAGAGGAGAAGAGGAGAGGGACAGATCGGGAGGTGACCCATTGCCATTTGAAGAGTTGGAGCAGAGAACTCCATAGGGCTTGTTCAATAAGGCAGTGAAGGAAGAGATGAGCATTTGTTTCTTCCGCACCCCTGCACATTGCGCAATGGTTGGGAATAGGCAGGACTCCTTTGCAATTGGTCGACTGTGAGCGCTCTCTCGACGAGGGCTGTCCAAATGAAAACCTTTATCTTGGGGGGAGCAAAGGAGGAGCGGGCTTTAGCAGCTTTGGAAACAGGGGCGTGAGGGAGGGTAGGGGGTTCAAGGAGTTTCCTAGAGAAGGAGGAGACTGAATAGCTCCAGATCCCCTGTGTGCCTTGTGTGCATGTGCTTCTCTAGCTCCATTCCTCTTATGTGTTCTTGTGGAAGACTGGCCTTGACTTGCATTTTATGCTTCCGCGTGGTGTGGGTAAAACTCAGCCCTATGACAGATGATGCAGACGAGAGTGAGCAAGGCCTAGAAGAAAATCATTTGGTGTTTGAGGCAAACCACTTCCGGTTCTCCTTTCCCTCACTACAAGCAAACTCCTATTTCCCTTTGCATTGGCTTAGGCAGGGCAGCTCTGTCTTCCCTAAGGTGGAACTCCTTCACGGCTTGGG